AATAAATGTGTAGGCGACAATCTCTGCGGTCATGTCTTTCATAGGCATTGCCTCTGGCCAGCGAGTGAATCTGTCCACGCACGTCAGCAGGTAACGATAGTCGTGAGACGGAGGCAGCGGTCCCATGATATCTAGGTGTACGTTGTTGAATCGGGCACCGGGAAGTTGAAATGTGCCTACGGGTGTCACTGTGTGGCGATGGAGTTTGGCTTGCTGGCACTGTTGGCATGCCCGTGCGAAGTTTCTAAAGTCTGACTTCATCCTTGGCCAAACGAATCGAGCTGAGATGAGGCTTTGTGACGCCCGTATCCCTGGGTGGGAGAGTGAGTGAAGGGTGTCAAAGACGACTCGTCGAAACGGTGTCGGCACGTAAGGTGGAGGATGGCCAGTAGAAGTGTCGCAGAGAAGTGTTTTGTTGCATTCAGGAATTGCAATGTCTTCGAGGACCAGCGCTGTTGACGAAGAGCGAAGGTGCTGAAGTTCTTCATCGAGCTGTTGCGCGGCGGCCAATTCCTGGAAATTGATAGCTGTCTGTTCCGTTGTAAAGGTGTTGACACCGATCCGGGATAGCGCGTCGGCGACGGTGTTTTCTTTGCCGTTGATGAAACGGATGTCGCTAGTGTATTCCGAGATGTAAGCCATCTGTCGGACTTCCCTTGCTGTGTAAGAGGAGCTGTTTGATGTTAGGGCATATGTTAGGGGTTTGTGATCTGTCAGGATAACAAATTGACGTCCTTCCAGAAAATGGCGGAAGTGTTTAACGCCCAGGTAGATTGCTAGAAGTTCACGCCCGAATGTACTGTACCGGGTTTCGGTGGGTGTCATTTGCTTTGAGAAAAAGGAGAGTGGTTGCCACCCGGAGTCGGTAAACTGTTGGAGTACGGCACCAACTGCTCCATCGGAGGCGTCGGTCACAAGGGAGAGTGGTGCGTTAGGTTTCTGATGGGCCAATGTTGTGACTTCGGCAAGTTGTTTCTTGATTGTCTCGAAGGCGTTGAGTGCAGGTTCGTTCCACTCGAGTGGGATGGATTGCTTGGGATCTCCAGTGAAAAAACGGTTGAGTGGCTGGAGAGTTCTAGAGCAGGTTGGAAGGAATCGTTGATAAAAGTTTATGAGCCCTAAAAACTGACGTAGTTTCTTTGTTGTTTGTGGTTGGGGAAACTGTTGAATAATATTCACCTTGTCCAGCAGGGGACGGATGCCGTGCTTGTCCACATGATGCCCCAAGAAATCCAATTCGGCGACGCCAAAGTTGCATTTGGCCGCATTGAGGACGACACCGTAGTTGTGGAGGCGAGAGAAGAGCTGTCGGAGGTGGTCCTCATGTTCTTCGCGTGTTTTGCTGAAGACGAGGACGTCATCGATGTAGGCGAAACAGAAGTTTAATCCACGGAGGACTTGATCCATGAACCGTTGGAAGGTTTGTGCTGCATTCCTGAGACCAAATGGCATCCGTATGTACTCAAACATGCCAAATGGTGTTGTGATTGCAGTTTTGTGGATGTCAGATGGTTCGACCGGTATTTGATGATATGCCTTTACAAGATCTATTTTTGTGAAGATTGTCGATCCCTGTAGTGCCCCAGCAAAATCTTGGATGTGGAAAATTGGGTACCGATCCGGCACCGTGATTTTGTTGAGAGCTCTATAATCCCCGCATGGTCGCCAGTCACCAGATATTTTTGGTGCCATGTGCAGGGCGCTAGACCACACGCTGGACGATGGACGAATGAATCCGAGTTCCAGCATGTGTTCGAATTCATTTTTAGCGATTTTTAGCCTGTCCGGGGCGAGGCGGCGTGGCTTGGCGAAGACTGGAGAGCTTTTGGTGTCGATGCAATGTGTGATGTTGTGTTTGACTGGTGCCTCGGTGTTGCATGGCTGCGTTAGCGCTGGGAATTCCTTTAAAAGGTTTTCCCATGGAGCAGCCATTTTGAGGGGTTGTACAGTAGAATTTAAAGATAGTGCCTTTGATAGTACGCCTCGGATACTGAGGTGTGTTGTAGAGTCAAGGAGTAGACGGCGCTTGACATCCACGATGAGGGCAAAATTTCGGAGGAAGTCTGCCCCAATGATTGCGAAACGCCCGTCTGCCACCAGAAATATCCAGCGGAACACGCGCCGGAGTCCCAAATCGAGGGTTAGGGATCTCTGTCCATACGTTTTTAGCGCCGGTCCATTTACCGCCTGGAGTGGTTGGGTTTGTTGTCGGTGCCGACGATCCTCCAGCGTAGGAGGAATGATACTGATTTCAGCGCCGGTGTCCACCAGGTATTGGATATTTGTCTGGCGATCAGTCTCGTGGAACAAACGGCTGATTGTGCTTCCCGCTGCACTGGCCGTCTTCAGTGAGTGGGCGAGGTGTTTTCCGGAAATGCGCATGGTGGGGTGCATTTTCGGGCGCCGCCTCCAAATAATCGGTGGTACCAGCACCACCTGTTGGTATCATCGCGGTTTCCGCTGGACCGACGTCCTCGAGATGTGTGTGGAGAGGATGGTCGTGAAGGACGGGCACGTAGGTCTCGCAAAAAAACAAAAAAAACCCAAGAAATTAAAAAAAAGCATTTTGTTTTTTGCACAGCTTAGTTTGGTTACGGGGTCGGGCGCGGCGCGCAAAGAGATAAGTTACTTTGATTTTTCAGGATAAAAGGCCCGTTCACTATGCGAGTAAATACGGACGCAAAAATTTTACTTCGCGTAATGAACGCCCCCCCCCCCCCCCCAACTTTGCATCGATTTTTCGGGAAAAAAAGTGCGTTCATTCTGCGAGTAAATACGGTATTATTATTGTTATTATCAAAAGTTAAACCTATAAAAGCAATTGCTAATGTAATTAGTCTTCCTCTCTTTGCAATCTTTGATAAAATATTGGGCACTGGGGTATTTCCTCCGAGATTAAAGATCGCCCGAGTATCAATTATACAGAAAGGTGGTCCAATTAGTACTTTAAATAACTACAAACCCAGATCCCTATTACCAGTGTTCTCAAAAGTAATATGGACGATAGTAATTCCAGACTGTTCTATCATTTGAGCAAACATAATAGTCTCGTAAAACAGCCCTATGGTTTTCAGAAAGGGAAATCTTCTGAAAAAGCTTTACTGAATATTAAGAATAAAAGTTTAACGCATTTTGAAGCCAAGCTTTATTCTTTAGGGGTATTATTAGGTTTCAGAAAGGCCTTTGATTCGATCAAGCCTAAAGGAATTTTCAAAACGCATTATAATTATGGGATAAGAGGTCTTGCCCTAAAACTCAATAAAAGTTATTTCTCAGAATATGTCCAATACATTACTCTTGGTTGCGAAAATCGGAAGCCGGTTATATACATTATCGGGTTGGTTCCCCAAGGATCAATCCTTGGACCACTACTTTTTCTGATGTACATTAACGTTATTGGTCACACACCATATACATCTGATATTTTGGTCTATGCAGATGACACAAATGTATTTGTTTTCGGGTGCGAATATATATTAGCTTGAAACATTAGCGAACAACTGTATGATAAAGTCAAGTACGTGGTTAGCATGCAATGAATTGGAAATAAACGTTGAAAAAACGAAATATATGGTATTTAGATAAAAAATAAACATATTAATCGAAAAGTAAACATTCGATTTAGAAAGACTGAAATTGCTTACGTAAAGACAGACAGGTTTCTAGGAGTATTTAAAAAAATTAAATTGGTCTTACCATATTGATCGTATTCGACCCGACATTTCACGGGGGATAGGAATCAAAAGTGCGTTAAAATATATTCTTCCGGTTGGTTAAAACACCACCTCTACTATACTATTGTTCATTCTCGTTTAAGCTATTGTAGTTTAGTATAGGGTACATGTTCAAAAACCTGTGTATCTCAGTTGCTTCTCTTGCAGAAAAAAAAGGGCGGTCAATTGCCAATGTATCATATCGGCAACACTCCCACCCATATTTCACCAAATACTTTTTTCTTACAGAAGAACAATCACTCACCGAGAGGTTGGCAGTTTAGATGTTCTGCAAAATTGAACTGCACCCTGAATTTGTGCAACAAGATTACATCAATAGGACATTCACAAACACCTTCCGTCATACTCGCTACCTGCAGTCAAGAATACGCGCCAAATATGGTAGACAAGAAGTACTTAATCAGATCGCACAATGATTAAATATCAATCTTTAAACACTGTCCTTGATTAATAGCTCTAATACAGTACACACATTTAAAACCACAATAAAATGTTTCCTTCTAGGTCCAACATAATCTATGTTGGTGTTTTGGTGTGTTTCTGTTTTACCAGTTCACATTTTGTATAGGTCACTGTATCTTTGAGTAATGGTGTAATTTTGTTTTTGTCTGAACATTTTGTTGTTGGACTATACTTGCTGCTGGACTCTAGTCGCCTTTTACTTTATCCTCCGTGACGTTTTTCTGAATGAAGTATATTCTATTCAAGTTCAAATGCAATTTACTCCTTCATATACAGTGTACAGAAGAGACCGACAACCCCAAAGGAGGTGGTGTCGCCTAAATAATTAAAAACCGTATTCTCTGTAATATGCTCTATCAAATAGAGGACCATGAAAGCATTTGTTGCAAGATCAATGTGTAGAGAGATACTATGCTGGTTAAATGGGTATGTGGTGGCGAAGCAAGGAAAGGAACCGAACACGACGAAGCTCGGGCCAAAACTATTTTTATATCACCGTCACGCGCTTGTCGCCTTTTAGCCCCGCGCACCTGCATCCGATGTACATCTTTTTCTTTAATACTCTGTCACCACAGGTATATCGGCCACCAAAAGTCCAACCAAAATATTTTAAAAGAAATTATTTAAATTCATAAGCGTTCATAGCAATAAAAACCTATTAATTGCCGGTGATTTCAACGCTCCAGAAACTGACTGGGCAAATCATAGCAGCGGTTGTGTAAACTTGCTAAGCTCAGAAATTTTGCTAGACCTGGTGTTCGCATTCAACCTCACCCAGATAATAGATAAAACAACAATAATTACCAGCTGAATAGCACCATTGTGGCCATAGTTTTTGTTAGCACTGACATTTTTGTTTCAAACGTTTCCGTCATAGATTAAGTTTATTTCTTGTTCTCTTTGTAAACAAACGTCTTGCCAGAGATCTTGGTACTCGTACATCAAGAATTACAGTCAGTCAGACGGCATTTCTATTCTGGATTATGTTGATACAGCTCATGAATCATTCAACGTTCATGGTGTCAATTTAGTCTAGAATGAATTCGAATGCCATTTTCAACAATGCATGCAGATTTTTTTCCCGGGAAAATAAAAACGAATCGGTTCCAACAACCCGTGAATGATACGAGAGTTAATACATTTCAAACGGAAAATCTAACGCCAAAGAAAGTGGCAGCTACATAAGGTAAATATATATTTTGGGGCTTCGCGATTTGTTAAAACACAAACTGGCAGAGGCCAGGTGCAATTATTTTTTTTTTTTCAAACACTTTTGAAATATTTATGAAAGATTTCGCCCAGTAATTTTGGCAGTATCTCTCTCAGAATAAAAAGGGTATAAAGTAGACTGTTAACAATGGTTCCGTCGTCATCAACAATAAAGAAGTGGTTGATTTATTAAGCCAGTATTTTCAGAGCATTTGTTTTTTCATATGTAAGCGAAACCGGTCCCTCTGTATTTGACGATGAATGACAGGATGAGTTGGAATTTGTATCTACAAATCAGGGGTCGTTTGCTATGTTACTTAATATTAGCGCTAAAAGGTCGTGTGGTCCGGACGGTATTTCCAACCATTTTCTAACGAGTCATGCCCAAGTACTGCCAAAGTTCGTAACAATTATCTTCAATTCGCCATTTTCAAGTAACATTCTATCCCATGACTAGCGCTCGGCACGTCTGGTTCCATTTATAAGAAGGGCAATTCGTAATTACTCTGTAAATATAGACCAGTATGTTTAACTTGCTTATCGTGTAAACTTATGGAACACGTGATTACAATCTACCTAACCAAGTACCTCTCTGAGCACAATCTACTTCCGAACGCGCAGCAAGGGGGTAGGCGGGGATTTTCCGCATTTCAACTAACGGTACACGACCTGGCCAAGGATCTAGACAAATTTGGCCAAATCGATCATATATTCATGAACTGCTGCAAAGCGTTCAATAAAAAAGCACATGACAAACTTCTTTTTGAGAAAGAATAAATTAGACTTCTAGATTCAATGTCTAAATTAGACTTTGAATTAAGATCGACTTGGAAAACCGCAGGAAATATCTTGACGAGAGCAAAAGTTAATCCCGTTTCTGAGAAATTAAATCCGGAGTTTCACGAGGATCTACGATTGCCACTAGTCTTCAATATTTACATAAATGATCCCATTGGATAGGTAGGTCCCAACGTTTTCATGCGATAGTTTGCGGATGATGGCGTTATATATATATTTTTTTTTTTCAGGTTTTATGTATCGATGATCAGGCAAATCTAAACCTCGGGCTACATCAAGTAGCCGAGTCGTGTAATCAGTGGGACATGGTAATAAATTATGACAAAATTGCTTATATAAGAATAACAAACAAAAAATCATCTTCCTTTTACATAAACCATAGGAAGTACTTGAATTACCGAAGTCTCGGAACTGAAGTACCTAGGGCTAACACTAAGGGGTAATAGAAGTGATTCAAATATATATATATATATATATATATATATATATATATATATATATATATATATATATATATATAGAGAGAGAGAGAGAGAGAGAGAGAACGAAGCGCAGGATGACGAAAAGTATATACGGAAGAAAACGCACCTGAGACGGTTGTTGGAGCTACGGAGATAAACAGCTCTCAGACTTGTTTAATACTCATTTCCTAACATCAGGAGCATGCTCGTCTTCCCCAACCAATGCAGCTAATGTCATTTCATATATACGAAATAACGTAACTAGCTCAATTTTCTTTTCTCCTACGGACGAGGAAGAAATAAGTACCCTGATTGCTTGCCTTAAAAACAGTACAGCCCCAAATGAAGACGGTCTCAAAGCTGAACCAATTAAATTCATTTCCAGTCTAATATTAACTCCGCTAACACACATATGCAACACGTCACTGTTGACTGGTCGCTTTCCAGACAGAATGAAAGTAGCACGCGTTTGCGTTGTACATAAGGGTGGTGTACGGAATGACCTCAATAATTACAGGCCGATTTCTGTACTTCCTATTTTTTCGAAAATTTTAGAACAAATAATTAATAATCGCCTGACTAGGTTTTTCACAAAACATAATATAATCTCCCAGCAGCAGTTTGGGTTTCAAAAAAATAAATCGACGAAAATGGCACTTGTAAATATTAAAGATAAAATTATTACAAACATTCAAAATAAACAGTTTACCATCGGAATATTTCTTGACTTCCAAAAAGCCTTTGATTCAATCAAACATCAAATACTACTAACAAAGCTAAACATGTATGGTGTAAGGGGCATAGCGAACAAACTAATTAATAGTTACTTAAGTTCTCGATTACAATTCACCACTTATAACGGCGTCAAATCAGACATCCATCAAATAGCATATGGCGTCCCGCAAGGATCAATTTTAGGACCATTACTATTTCTTATTTACATCAATGATATCGTTAATATTTCGCATCGCTCAGAAATGGTATTATTCGCAGACGACTCGAATGTATTTTTTTTCCGATAGTAACCTCCAGTATCTTGAAAGCACAGCTAATGATTGGTTAAAGGATTTATCACTGTGGCTAGTTGCAAACCAGCTTGAATTAAATATTTTAAAAACTAAATATATTGTGTTTAGGGCAAGAAATAAGATGCTTAACTACGACTTAGATATAAAATTTAACTCCTACAAATTGGAGAAGGTTGAGTCATTAAAGTTCCTGGGTGTATGGTTTCATGAACACTTGTACTGGACAACTCGTGTGCCCAAGTTGTCTATAACACTCTCCAGATCAATTGCCACAATATACAAATTAAGATATTTATTACCAACATGGCTTAAGTGCCAATTATACTATGCACTTGTTCACTCTCATTTACATTACTGCTCATTGGTTTGGGGTACGACTACTAAAAATAACCTTGAAAAACTACTAGTGCTCCAGAAAAAAGCAATCCGTTCTATCGAGTGTTTAAGTTGTAACGATCACACATCTGCTTATTTTAAAAAGCAACGCTTGCTTACTATACAACAGTTAATAATGTTCAACCTTACAAAAGCCATCTTTCATTATCTCAAAACTGACACGGAGTCGTTTCACACCCAATTTCCCTTAAGAGAAACTAACTACAACTTAAGATGTGTGGATTATGCTAGAGGTCAAACACGTACGAGCTATGGTGAACAAACATTAACACAGCAAATTCCGCAACTTCTAAACATGCATCCTCAAATTCTGGAAACAGTTGAAGCAGTAAATTCAATATATACGTTCAAAAAAAGATAAAGGATTATATTTTGAAGCTTGAATAATATATTGGATACAAATGTGTAAACAACCTTGTTCGTTTTTTTTTTTGTTTTTTTTTTATTGTTTTTATCTGTGTTGCCGCTCTGAAACCTGTATGGGGCTCGGGACCTTGGTCAGGTGCTATTAAGCACCTTTTGTCCCTGCCACCCCACTTCAAAATGGCTAATAAATGTAATGAAAATGCAATGAGTTTTTAAAACATATTATTGGTAAAGTTGGTCGACGTTTCGGCCTGAGCCAGACCTTTTTCGAGAGTCTCGAAAAAGGTCTGGCTCAGGCCGAAACGTCGACTAACTTTACCAACAATATGTTTTAAAAACTCCAACAACCGTCTCAGGTGCGTTTTCTTCCGTATATATATATATAAATATATATATATATATATATATATATATATATATATATATATATATATATATATATATATATATATATATATATATATATATATATATATATATATATATATACATATATATGTATATATATATATATATATAAATATATATATATAAATATATATGTCCTATGTTTAACAGCCAGTAAAAGAGTAGGGCTTAAATCGGGGAAGGCTCAGCCATGCTTCTAGTGATTTCAAACTTTATGCCTATCAAACTCTTGTACTCTCTGCACTCTAATACGCTTCCTCAAGAAGGAACGGACATAAAAAAGTGACCACACAAAACAAAAAAAAAAAAAAGGAAAATGAAATAGTTATCATTTACATTTATTCATAGATGGTGCCACTGAAAAGACTCCGTGCCAGATATGCTGAACCTTTCGGTCCTTCAGCCGCTGAAAGTGCGCAGAAAGGCGATCCGGCTCAAGTTTTCTTTTTAATTTTTTTATTCGCTTTATTTTCATCAACTAGCTTTAATGCCAACTGCTATCCGCCCCCAAACGCGCCATTCACGCTCACCACAATCTGGCGTCCCTCTTTTTGCGAGCACGAGTACATATAAGTATTGTTTTTTTCCTCCATACGATTAATGATTTGAATGGTTTACTACCCACTGCATTTCAAGCTGATAATGTTTTTCCGAAGTGAAGTTCAAGTTTATGAAAATATGTTAAATCAATTTACGGGAGTATTTGCGTTAATTTATTGCATGTACCCTTTAAGTGAGATACTTATCTGGACTGCCTTTATATATGTCTATATGTGTGTGTGTGTTTGGGGTGTTTTTGTACATAGTATTCCAAAGCCTGCCGATAAATCATTGTTTTTACTCACATACCAAGTGCACTACATAACTATTTCGTGTTGCTTGTGCCGTTTCCTTATTTTCTTTCAGGTATGTGTGTACATATGTATAAAAAGTGTTTTTTTTTTCTTTACCGATGTTAAAAAAATTACTTGATGCATTGTATTTTTAAAGCCTGTTTATGTGCCTCTCCTGCTTGCACCCATTCGAGGTCTGCAGCAATGTTAAATTTAAAAAAAACGCGTTTTACATTTTTTTAGTATGAACTTAAGAATGAAGGCACCTGGTTTGTTTTTCGCTGTTAGAACGACCAGCACACTACTTTTTTCAGAAGATTGA